TTGCCCCAGTTTAGCCCAGTTTGGTCCCGCTTTCTCCCAGTTTAGCCCAGTTCAGGACTCCTGGGGCCCAGTTTAGGCCAGTTCCCCCCAAGTTCAGCCCACTTTGCCCCAGTTTAGCCCAGTTTGCCCCCAGTTTCTCCCAGTTTAGCCCAGTTCAGGACTCCTGAGGCCCAGTTCAGCCCAGTTTGGCCCAGTTTAGCCCAGTTTGGTCCTGCTTTCTCCCAGTTTAGCCCAGTTCAGGCCTCCTGGGGCCCAGTTCAGCCCTGTTCCCTCCCAGTTCAGCCCAGTTTGCCACCTGTTTCTCCCCAGTTTAGCCCAGTTCAGGCCTCCTGGGGCCCAGTTCAGCCCAGTTCCCTCCCAGTTTGCCCCAGTTTAGCCCAGTTTGGTCCCACTTTCTCCCAGTTTAGCCCAGTTCAGGCCTTCTGGGTCCCAGTTTAGGCCAGTTCCCCCCATTTCAGCCCAGTTCCCTCCCAGTTTGCCCCAGTTTAGCCCAGTTTGGTCCCGCTTTCTCCCAGTTTAGCCCAGTTCAGGACTCCTGGGGCCCAGTTTAGGCCAGTTCCCCCCAAGTTCAGCCCACTTTGCCCCAGTTTAGCCCAGTTTGCCTCCAGTTTCTCCCAGTTTAGCCCAGTTCAGGACTCCTGAGGCCCAGTTCAGCCCAGTTTGGCCCAGTTTAGCCCAGTTTGGTCCTGCTTTCTCCCAGTTTAGCCCAGTTCAGGCCTCCTGGGGCCCAGTTCAGCCCTGTTCCCTCCCAGTTCAGCCCAGTTTGCCACCTGTTTCTCCCCAGTTTAGCCCAGTTCAGGCCTCCTGGGGCCCAGTTCAGCCCTGTTCCCTCCCAGTTCAGCCCAGTTTGCCACCTGTTTCTCCCCAGTTTAGCCCAGTTCAGGCCTCCTGGGGCCCAGTTCAGCCCAGCTTCCTCCCAGTTCAGCCCAGTTTCTCCCCAGTTTAGCCCAGTTCAGGCCTCCTGGGGCCCAGTTCAGCCCAGTTCCCTCCCAGTTTGCCCCAGTTTAGCCCAGTTTGGTCCCGCTTTCTCCCAGTTTAGCCCAGTTCAGGACTCCTGGGGCCCAGTTTAGGCCAGTTCCCCCCAAGTTCAGCCCACTTTGCCCCAGTTTAGCCCAGTTTGCCTCCAGTTTCTCCCAGTTTAGCCCAGTTCAGGACTCCTGAGGCCCAGTTCAGCCCAGTTTGGCCCAGTTTAGCCCAGTTTGGTCCTGCTTTCTCCCAATTTGGCCCAGTTCAGGCCTCCCGGGGCCCAGTTCAGCCCAGTTTGCCCCCAGTCCAGCCCAGTTTTCCCCCAGTTTCTCCCAGTTCAGCCCACTTTCCCCCCAGTTTAGCCCAGTTCCCTCCCAGTTTGCCCCAGTTTAGCCCAGTTTGGTCTAGCTTTCTCCCAGTTTAGCCCAGTTCAGGCCTCCTGGGGCCCAGTTCAGCCCTGTTCCCTCCCAGTTCAGCCCAGTTTGCCACCTGTTTCTCCCCAGTTTAGCCCAGTTCAGGCCTCCTGGGGCCCAGTTCAGCCCAGTTTCCCCCCAGTTTGCCCCAGTTTAGCCCAGTTTGGTCCCGCTTTCTCCCAGTTTAGCCCAGTTCAGGACTCCTGGGGCCCAGTTTAGCCCAGTTTGCCCCCAGTTCAGCCCAGTTTGCCACCTGTTTCTCCCAGTTTAGCCCAGTTTCTCCCCAGTTTAGTCCAGTTCAGGACTTCTGGGGCCCAGTACAGCCCAGTTTGCCCCCAGTTTGCCCCAGTTTGGTCCTGTTTTCTCCCAGTTTAGCCCAGTTTGGTCCCACTTTCTCCCAGTTTAGCCCAGTTCAGGACTCCTGGGGCCCAGTTTAGGCCAGTTTCCCCCCGGTTCAGCCCACTTTCTCCCAGTTTAGCCCAGTTCAGGCCTTCTGGGGCCCAGTTTAGGCCAGTTTCTCCCCAGTTCAGCCCAGTTTACCCCAGTTTCTCCCCAGTTTAGCCCAGTTCAGGACTCCTGGAGCCCAGTTTAGCCCAGTTTCCCCCCAGTTTAGCCCAGTTCAGGCCTCCTGGGGCCCAGTTCAGCCCAGTTCCCTCCCAGTTTGCCCCAGTTTAGCCCAGTTTGGTCCCACTTTCTCCCAGTTTAGCCCAGTTCAGGCCTTCTGGGTCCCAGTTTAGGCCAGTTCCCCCCATTTCAGCCCAGTTCCCTCCCAGTTTGCCCCAGTTTGCCCCGTTTGCGCAGGTCCCTGGTGCGCTGGGACATCGAGGTCCTGGGCGAGGGCAGCTTCGGCGACACCCCGGCCCTGCGCCTGCTGTGAGTCCCCGGGGCGGCCCCAAGTGGCCCCAAGGTGTCCCCAATGTCCCCAAGGTGTCCCCAAGGTGTCCCCAATGTCCCCAAGGTGTCCCCATGGTGGCCCCAAGGCTCTCATGGTGTCCCCGTGGTGTCCTCCGTGTCCCCAACCTGTCCCTGTGGTGTCCCCAAGGTCCCCAACCCGTCCCCAAGGTCCTCGGTGTGTCCAGGAGGTCCCCAAGGTGTCCCCAACCTGTCCCCATGTTGTCCTCAAGGTGTCCCCAATGTGTCCCAAACCTATCCCTGAGGTGCCCAATGTGTCCCCAACTCATCCCCATGGTGTCCCCAAGGTGGCCCTGATGTTCTCCTGGTGTCCCCATGGTGTCCTCCGTGTCCCCAACCTGTCCCTGTGGTGTCCCCAAGGTGGCCCTGAGGTTCTCATGATGTCCCCGTGGTGTCCTCCGTGTCCCCAATGTGTCCCCAACCTGTCCCCAATGTCCCCAACCCATCCCCAAGGTGTCCCCAAGGTCCCCAAGGTGTCCTCAAGGTCCCCATGGTGTCCCCAAGGTGTCCCCGAGGTTCTCCTGATGTCCCCGTGGTGTCCTCCATGTCCCCAACCTGTCCCCATGGTGTCCCCAATGTCCCCAACCCGTCCCCAAGGTGTCCCCAGTGTCCCCAACCCATCCCCATGGTGTCCCCAAGGTATCCCCGAGGTTCTCATGGTGTCCCCGTGGTGTCCTCCGTGTCCCCAATGTGTCCCCAATGTCCCCAACCTGTCCCCGAGGTCCCCGTGGTGTCCTCAAGGTCCCCAAGGTGGCCCCAACCTGTCCCCATGTTGTCCTCAAGGTGTCCCCGATGTGTCCCCAACCTGTCCCCAAGATCGTCATGGTGTCCTCAATGTGTCCAGGAGGTCCCCAAGGTGTCCCCAACCCATCCCCATGGTGTCCCCAAGGTGTCCCCAACCCATCCCCGTGGTGTCCCCAAGGTGGCCCTGAGGTTCTCATGATGTCCCCGTGGTGTCCTCCGTGTCCCCAATGTGTCCCCAACCTGTCCCCAATGTCCCCAACCCATCCCCAAGGTGTCTCCAAGGTCCCCAAGGTGTCCTCAAGGTCCCCATGGTGTCCCCGAGGTTCTCCTGGTGTCCCCGTGGTGTCCTCCATGTCCCCAACCTGTCCCCATGGTGTCCCCAATGTCCCCAACCCGTCCCCAAGGTGTCCCCAGTGTCCCCAACCCATCCCCATGGTGTCCCCAATGTCCCCAACCTGTCCCCGAGGTCCCCATGGTGTCCCCGAGGTCCCCAAACTGTCCCCATGTTGTCCTCAAGGTATCCCCAACGTGTCCCCCCTGTCCCCAACCTGTCCCCGAAGTGTCTCTGTGGTGTCCCCAAGGTCCCCAGGCCACTCCCAGTGTGTCCCTGAGGTCCCCAAGGTGTCCCAAGGGTCCCCGAAGTGTCACCAGGGTGTCCCCGGGGGTGACAGGGGGTGTCCCCACAGGTTGATCACTGCCGGGCGCTTGGGGACCATCGGGGACGGGGCCTTCGCCGGACTGGTGCTACTGGAGTACTTGTGAGCAGGACTGGGAGGGACTGGGAGGCACTGGGGAGGGACTGGGGAGCACTGGGAGGGGACTGGGATGTGGTGGGAGGCACTGGGAGGGGATTTGGGAGCACTGCTTGGACTGGGGAGGCACTGGGGAGGGACTAGAGGGCACTGGGTTGGACTGGGGAGTGCTGGGGAGGGACTAGGGGGAAATAGGAGAGGACTGGGAGGCACTGGGAGGGCACTGGGAGGCACTGGGAGGGACTGGGAGGCACCGGGAGGGACGGGGAGGGACTGGGGAGCACTGGGTTCTACTGGGAGGCACTGGGGAGGGACTGGGAGGCGCTGTGTTGGACTGGGGGGTGCTGGATTGGAGTGGGAGACACTGGGGAGGTGGCTAGGAGGGCCTGGGGAGCACTGGGTTCTACTGGGAGGCACTGGGGAGGGACTGGGAGGCGCTGTGTTGGACTGGGGGGTGCTGGATTGGAGTGGGAGACACTGGGGAGGTGGCTAGGAGGGCCTGGGGAGCACTGGGTTCTACTGGGAGGCACTGGGGAGGGACTGGGAGGCGCTGTGTTGGACTGGGGGGTGCTGGATTGGAGTGGGAGACACTGGGGAGGTGGCTAGGAGGGCCTGGGGAGCACTGGGTTCTACTGGGAGGCACTGGGGAGGGACTGGGAGGCGCTGTGTTGGACTGGGGGGTGCTGGATTGGAGTGGGAGACACTGGGGAGGTGGCTAGGAGGGCCTGGGGAGCACTGGGTTCTACTGGGAGGCACTGGGGAGGGACTGGGAGGCGCTGTGTTGGACTGGGGGGTGCTGGATTGGAGTGGGAGACACTGGGGAGGTGGCTAGGAGGGCCTGGGGAGCACTGGGTTCTACTGGGAGGCACTGGGGAGGGACTGGGAGGCGCTGTGTTGGACTGGGGGGTGCTGGATTGGAGTGGGAGACACTGGGGAGGTGGCTAGGAGGGCCTGGGGAGCACTGGGTTCTACTGGGAGGCACTGGGGAGGGACTGGGAGGTGCTGTGTTGGACTGGGGGGTGCTGGATTGGAGTGGGAGACACTGGGGAGGTGGCTAGGAGGGACTGGGAGGGACTGGGGAGCACTGGGTTCTACTGGGAGGCACTGGGGAGGGACTGGGAGGTGCTGGGAGGGGACTGGAGAACACTGGGAGGCACTGGGATGTACTGGGAGGCACTGGGGAGGGCCTGGGAGGGAACTGGGAGGCACTGGGATGTACTGGGAGGCACTAGGAGGGGACTGTGAGGGGACTGAGAGGCACTGGGTTGGACTGGGAGGCACTGGGGAGGGACTGGGGAGCACTGGGAGCGGACTGGGAGGGGGCTGGGAGGGACTGGGAGGGACTGGGAGGGACTGGGAGGGAACTGGGAGGCACTGGGTTGGACTGGGAGGCACTGGGAGGGGTCTTGGAGGGAAGTGGGAGGCACTGGGTGGGACTGGGGGGCACTGGGGGGGGACTGG